AATTGCAATTAAATTCCTGCTGAAACTTCATACATTTTGTTTTCAGTTAAAAGTGCATGTGAGCATTGTGTAGTTTGTGTTCTGTGGATTAACACATGACCATGGGTGTGACGTATGATGAGAGCCTTTTACATTCAAATTGACAGCACCCAATAATCTCTTTCATTTGTATAAATTTGAGAAATGTTTTCTTTTTTTCTGCTGTTATTGCCTGCGTCACAAGCCTCTAAACATGTTTGTCTGTCTCAGTAGAAACGTCATTTGAGGAAACCACAGGGCTGTAACTGTGTGCTGTGCACTTGTCACCATACTGCAAAATTATTTGACAGTAGTTGTGCATGATGCTGGGTGTTGCTCTGTTAAAAGAGTTTAAAATAGTGTTTAAAATTAAGTACAATTGCACACCTCTTTCTCTTTGACTGGCCGGTGTTGTAGCAATCAGTGCAGATCAAAGATCACTCTGGAGAGCCTGGTTGTTAACGCCATTAGACTTCATTCTTTCCTGAATGAAGCCGAGCAGTTGTCTGCAGACAAAAGCTACCCAACTCTTCAGAAGGGTGCTCATATACATTTTCATGAAAAAAAAAAACGTCCTCATCCTGCTTTTCACAAGACCCAACATTGCCAAATATGCTTATGTTATGGTCTAAGGAAGCCTTACTCACTTAAATTTACAGCTTGTTTTTGCTCTCCCCTCATAGGAGGCTACCACTGCCTATGTAAGGTCATATAGATCACTTTCTGGCCTCCTTGTCACTGAGGATTAAATATTATCAAATCTGAGTACACATTTTATACCAGTTGTGGACATTAGTGAGTTGTGGACGTTAGTGAGTAGTGGTCAGTACAGAGTTTTTCAACATTAGTGAGCTGTGGACATTAATCAGTTGTGCAAATTAGTGGAAATTAGTGAGTGGTGGATGTTAGAGACTTGTGGACATTAGTGAGTTGTGGACATTAGCGAGTTGTGGACATTAGCGAGTGGTGGACATTAGTGAGTGGTGGCCATTAGTGAGTGGTGGACATTAGAGATTAATCTGATGTTGTAACAGCAATGCAATATGTTGATATTTGTTCATTCTCCAGGTTGCACACTGAATCGTCAGAGAGTGACTGTGACTGCATACGTGGGACAGTCTGTCCTTCTGCCCTGCTCCTGCTCTGAACTACAAGCCAACCCACACACTTTCAGATGGATCTTTTTTAAAGGCTCTGATCGCATAATGATCTTCCCAAAGGACCAGAAAAATCGCTACACAGACAGAGTTCAGCTCTTTAATGATCATCTTCCAGGAAATCTCTCTCTGCTCATATCACACCTGACTGTAGAGGATGGAGGATGGTACAGGTGTAGGACCAGCAACACTATCGATGTAAACGTCATACTCGTAATAAAAGGTAAAACAACCTTCTGTGTATAAACCATATGAGAAGTTTACTACAGCATGTAACAAAGGAAATGAAATTTCATTAATAAATATTTGGACTACTACTGTATAATAAAATGATGTGGAGTGCACATTCCATCTGGATGTAAAAAGTGTATTATAAAATAAGAAATAAAATGTAAGAATCAGATGTGAAAGGTTTCTGTTGCGTGTTCTGCCCCTCGTCTGTGTTTGTGTTTATGATTATGGATTATCTGAGTTTGTGTTCTGACCCGCTTTCACTTCTCACTACGATTCCTGGATTGTCTTTAATAAAGAACACGCTGAGTTTACACACTTGTGTCCTGCCTTCACTCACTGCACATCACACTCTTTATTTATAACTTATTAAACCTTTCTCTCCTTCAGACGCACCAACAAGACCTTCAACATCCACAGCAGTGATCACAACAACTTCACCT